TCGATCCCGGGACTCCAGGATCATGACCTGAGCCAAAGGCAGTCGCTTAACCAACTGAGCCACCCAGGCGCCCCAAATTCTTTATTATATGACACAAGCCCACATGCTTGTTGGCAGGAGTCAATTCCTTACTGGCTGGAGACTATTCTTGGTTCCTTGCCAAGTGGGCTTCTCCAAAACGGGGAACTCACATCATCACGCAAGTGCACAATCATAGAAGGCAGGAAGGAGCTTGCTGTCTAGATGATAGTTGTATTCTTCATTAACACGACTGCTGAAGTGACATCCTGTCTCCTTTGCTATATTCTGTAGGTTAGAAGCCAGTCTCCAAAACCAGGGGAGGGGATTACACAGAGGCACGAATACCAGGAGTGAGAATAATTGGAGGTCACAAGCCACAATGAAGGCTCACTCAAGCCCACAAACTTGTGTAAGGTCATGGGGGCAGTTTTGTGGAGAGAAGGGAGTGGGAGCAGAAGAGCGGCAGTCAAGAAAGGCACTGAGCACTTGTCAGGAAGGAAGCAGGAAGTGGGACAACCCCTCTGGAAAACTGTTGACAAGTCTCTAATGAAATGAAGCATACACCTGTTCTTTGACACAGCCGTCCCACTATTTATAATCCAGGGAAAGGCCTGCATATGTGCCTGTGTATACAAAGACATAGCTAAGAGTATTCGTGCAACCTGACCCATAGAAACCTCAGCCTGGAAACAACCCAGAAGTTCTTCCACTGGAGAACGGATCAACAAATTGTGGCATGAATGTGCAACGGAGTAATACTCAGCGGTAAAAAGGGAAGAAGGTACGAATGCAAGTAACACCTGGGATAAACCTCAGAAACAACATCTTCTCATGGAAGCAGCCCATGCAGAAGAATTCACGTGGTGTACTGCATGTATATGAGTGCATATGAGGAAGGGGCAAAAGTCATCCAAGGCGATACAAGTCAGAAAAAGGAATGATCTCAGGGGAAGGGTGGTTAGCTGGAGAGTGGCACAAAGAAACCTTTTGCAGTGCTAGAAATACTTTTTTTATTCGGACAGTGGTAGAGATAAGGTTTGTGCATCTTACTCTATGCAAATGATACCTCATTTAGAGGTAGAGATAAGGTTTGTGCATCTTACTCTATGCAAATGATACCTCATTTAAAAAAAATAAATTTTTAGAAGAAGGAAACAAGTCTTCGTTGGAGATTTGAGGAAAGGGATCCCCATTTGCTTAGTGCCTCAGGGGTCCTCTCTCCATCATCCATCCCCTTGTTGGAAGTTCTTCCTTCCCAGGCTCCAGGTGCTTTCCTGGCTTTGCCTTAAGGGTTGAGTACACACAGGTTTCCAGAGGCTGCTCCATTTGGCTGGAGGGACCCTCACTTAGGGCTCTGGGGTTCAGCTCAGCATAAGTCACTCCATGGGGTTCCTCAGCTCTTGAGACCTGGGATGTTTTAATCTGAAGGGAAGCAAGGAGAAAAGGATCAAGTATTCCCTGGAAAGAGTGTTGGATTGTGAAGATTTAGCATTTGTAACAACAGTGTGGTAGACAGCTGTGTTAGAAAGAGCCTCCTGCCCTTTGAGTGTTGGTGCAGTCCCCTACCCTCTTGAAGGTTGGTGGGACCTAGGGACATGCATCTGTCAAACAGAGTAAGTGAAAAGGATGGGCTGTCCTGTGTCTTTGTGTCCAAGACTAGGTGGTGAAAGACTGACTTCTGTCTTGTTCACACCTGTCTATTTTCAGGTCCCTCGCTCATGCTGATCAAGCCAGCTGCTGGGTTACGATCTGTCCTATGGAAAGACCCATATGGTCAGGGTGGTCTCTGGCCAGCAGCCAGCAAGGAACTGAATCCTGCCAGCCACCACCTGAGTGAGTGAGTGAGTGTGGAAACAAATCCAAGCCTGAACCAGCCCTGGCCAACCCCTTCATGCCAGCCTGTGAGACCAGTGTGAGTCACACCCAGATTCCTGACCTGCAGACACCGTGAGATCATAAGTGTTGCCTTAAGCCATTGTGTTTGGGGATCGTTTATTATGAAACCATAGATAATTCATACAAACAGCCACCAAAGAGAGTGTTAATCTGAAATGTCCAGAATAGGTCAGTCCTTAGGGACAGAAAGCTAGTGGTGGTCAGGGGCTTGGGGTGGGGGTATGGGTATGCAGAGAGTGCTTAAAGGCTGTGGGGTTTCCTCTGGGGTGATGAAAATGGTCTGGAACTAGATAATGGTGATTATTGTACAACATTGTGAATATTCCAACAGTTGCTAACTTGTACAGGTTAAATGGTGAGTTTTATGTTATATGCGTTTTGCCACAATTTTTTAAAAAATTGAAGTGTAAATGAAAAAAATAAAGGGTCACTATTGATAACTGCAGGTTGTAGTATGCAGGTACTTCATGGTAGGTAGTTACCATATTTTCATAAATAGCATGAAGAGGTGGAGCACATTATCCCCATTGTCCAGATGAAGAAACACAGGCTCAGGGTGGGAAAGTCACTGGCCCGAGATTATAACAGATAGTTTATAATAATAGTAGCTTCAGGGGCACTGAATGCTTACGCCATGCCTGGGATCCTACTGATCATTGTGTGGCTCTGAGCTTATTAAATCATCCCATTCATCCTAGAAAGAAGGTGATGTACATCCCATGTCACATGGGGAAATGTCCCCAGAAAGGACAAGTCATGGGATGAAGTTCCCCTGGCCAGAGAAGGCACAGAAAATTTCAGACCAGATTCTCCTGGAAAGTAGAGCAAGGGTGGGGGTAGAGGAAAGCAGAGGCCCAAACCATTGACAAAACTGGAGGGAGTGACAGAGAGCTTGGGTTGAGGGGATGACGGGAAATGGCCACAGCGGAAACTCACCGAGGCAGGAGAGCAGTGCGTCATAGCTGCGGGTGGATCTGGGAAGGAAACATTCTGCTGTTGCTTCACCCCCAGGCTCCAGGGGTTAAGTCTGCATGCACGCACGTGTGTGCACACATGAATATTCATACACACATCCACATGCACAAGAACATGCAAACCACACACAACACACTCATGCACATGTCTACACATGCATGCTCTCACACACATGCACACACATGTTCACATGCACACACACATCCCTGCACACCTATACACACAGACTCACATCCACACTCAAATGCACAGGCTTACGTGAGCACAAGCAGCACACATGTGTGCACACACACATGTACCCACCACCATTTTCTTTCTCAGGCTGAATACTTGTCCTCATTTCTTCAGGTTCCTTAGAGTGGGACCTAAAAGAAACAGTGAAGCATTAGAGGTGAAGGAAATTGGTAAAGGTAAAAGGAATCGGGATCATTGTGGGTAGGTGGAGGTGAGGTGCCAAGCAAGATCACGTGTAAACCAAAGTCCCCCCCCGCACTTACTCGACGCTCATACACCCCTTGCTGGGGTCCCTAAGTCATTCAGGTGCTCAGCAAAGTCTTGAGAGGTGAAGAGGGGAAGTGGTTGGGGACAGTGTGGTCCATGAGGAAAGGATCCAAGGAAAGAACACTGAGTGAGAAGTGGAGGGTAGTTGTAAGAAGAGAGGATGTGGAGAGACACCGGATGGTTGCTGGGGCTGCTTGGGGCCACATAAAATGTTGAGGTAAGAAAGAAGGTCTTGATTAGTCCAGGCAGCAATGGAGGAGGAGTTAAGTATGGGCAGATGGGATCCTCTGAGTTGCTCTACCGTTTGGTCATCTTGTCCGGAGCTGTCCCTGGGCATAAAAGAGAGACAGGATCAACCCTGTGGTGTTACTTTCCCATTCTATTTCTCCCATTTCCTCCCAAATATTTAGCTGTTGTTTTCCTGATCTCACCACATCGGGTGTATTTGCAGATGAGGAAGGTTCCAAGGAGGAAGAGAAAGATGCAGATGACAATGAGGGTGATCCCGGTGATCCCAGTGGTCCCTGGGGAGAGGTGAGGGGTTAAGAGGGCCCACGGTTTCCTGGGACACTCTGGTGCCTCAGTGTGTCTCCATCGATCAAGTTCCTACCACGTGCTGGAGAGCTCACTACGTTATTTTCATACTTACAAGTATCCTGGGAGAGAGACAGAGTGATGCACATTTTACAGATGCAGAAGCTGAATGTCAGAGGGTTGAAGTACTATTTCCAAAGTGGCCCAGCTACCGAGGAGGCAGAGCTCTGCCTCTGATCCTCCCCACCTCGGAAGACCTTGCACTGAGCCACAGCCTTCAGGCATCACCAACAGATAGACAGACATCCTCGAGAATTTTCCCAGGTAACTCACAGCTGCACAAGGACATCTCATCCCATGGGTGAATGACTGTATGTCCCAGGAAGCTCTACTCTCTTACCCAGCTCTGTTTCTGCCATCTCGGGAGACTTCCTTTCAGTTTTATCTAGAAGACAGAATTCTTGAGTTAAGTTTTAAATTTAATCAAAAAAAAATTTTATTCTTTTTTTAAAAATTTTTAAAATTTTATTATGTTGTGTTAGTCACCGTATAATACATCATTAGTTTTTGATGTGGTGATCCACAATCCATTGTTTTCGTATAACACCCAGTGCTCCATGCAGTATGTGCCCTCCTTAATACCCATCACCAGGCTAAACCATCCCCCCTCCCCCCTCCCCTCTAAAACTCTGTTTCTCAGAGTCCATAGTCTCTCATGGTTCATCTCCCCCTCCTATTTCCCCCCCTTCATTTTTCCCTTCCTTCTCCTAATGTCCTCCATGCTATTCCTTGTGTTCCACAAATTAGTGAAACCATATGATGATTGACTTTCTCTGCTTGACTTATTTCACTTAGCACAATCTCCTCCAGTCCCATCCATGTTGATGCAAAAGTTGGGTATTCATCCTTTCTGATGGCTGAGTAATATTCCATTGTATATATGGACCACATCTTCTTTATCCATTCGTCTGTTGAAGGGCATCTCAGTTCCTTCCAGAGTTTGGCTATTGAGGACATTGCTGCTATGAACATTGGGGTGCATAGGGCCCTTCTTTTCACTACATCTGTGTCTTTGGGGTAAATACCCAGGAGTGCAATTGCTGGGTCATAGGGTAGCTCTATTTTTAATTTTTTGAGGAACCTCCACACTGTTTTCCAAAGTGGCTGCACCAACTTGCATTCCCACCAACAGTGTAAGAGGGTTCCCCTTTCTCCACACCCTCTCCAACATTTGTTGTTTCTTGCCTTGTCAACTTTTGCCATTCTAACTGGTGTAAGGTGGTATCTCAACTTAATCAAATTTAAATAAAATTTAAAACTCTATACATTATTTACAAAAGCATGTCCATGTAGTAAAAATATATAAAAACATGCACAGAAATAACACCAGCTTCAGGGCAGAGGGTTCTACTGGGAAGGGGGAAATAATGGGAACAATGTTGAGAAGGAAAGAGGACTCTCTTTTTTTTATCTTTATTTGTGGAAAGAAAACAACTTGGAACAAATATGACAAACTAAACAAGTCTAATTCTGGGTGGTGGATATGGGACTATCTTATTTGATTGTTACTTCTATTAGGTAGTAATTTTCAGATTTCTCAAAAGAAAGGAAATTCTTATCAGTTCTCTGGCTGGTTTGTGGGAGGATGGTTTTCTGAGTTTGGGGTCTATCTAGGGAACAGAATTAAGTAAGATAGGATGCAGAAAGAAAAGGCAAGTGTATTCCGGAAGTGTCCGGACCCCCTCAGGGACCCCAAGACTTGAGTGTAGGTGGGTGTGATCGTTAAATTTATGTGTCAACTTGACTAGGCTACAGTACCAGTTATTTGGTCAAATACCAGTCTAGACTGGTTGCCAGGAAGGTGGCACCTGAAGCTAATATAACACTGTATGTTAACCACACTGGAATTAAAATAAAATAAATGCAATCTTAACTAAAATTCATTTTTAAAAACAGATGTGATTAACACTGAAGTCAGCAGAGTTTGAGTAGAGCAGATTACTCTCTGTAATATGGGTGGGCCTCATCCAATCAGTTGAAGGCCCAAAGAGAAAGACTGATCTCCTTTGAGGATAAAGGAATTCTGCTTCCAGCTACCTCCAGGCTCAACATCAGCTACGTCCTGGGTGTCCAGCCTACTGGCTACATGAGTTGCCCAGGGTCACACAGCTAGTGAGTAGCAGAGACCGGGGATGGGACTCTTGCTAATGTGATGATACTCACCACATCATTCTTCATTGCCTTTACCATCCATAGCTGTTCTGGCTACGAGTTGACCAAAGCAGAAGAAGCAGACCCCTGAGACCATCTGAAGACCCCATCTCCTCCCCCAGCCCTGAGCTTCCAAGAAGGCAGCAGGCCTGGGAAGTTTGTTCACTCCAGACCACTGTTTCCTCTGTTCCCTGTGGTATCACCTGTAGCTCCTCACCTCTCTGTCCTGTGGAGCCACACCGTCAGGAAGTGGGACACTGTTCGACTCAGCCACCTGCTGTCTACTCACCCTCCCCTCCTACCCCCTGCCAGGTACATTCTGCTCTCCTCTAAACCAGAGACTGCATTGATCTCATTCCAACTTTAGAAATGATGAGTAAACCCCACGAGCCATCAGGCTCCTAGGGTCTGGCTCTGAAGAAATCGCTGGGAAACTGGAGACAAATCAAACTTCAGGATAAAAGGGAAAAAAAACCCAAAACACCACAAGTGACCTTGAAGGAAGACAGTACTCTGGTAAGTAGTTTCTGAAACAGCTACTGGTCCGGGGCACGTAATTTAAGGAATTAGAGGCTTCAGGAATTGGAGGAGAGTATGGTCTCCACCCTTAAAATCCCTGCAAGAACTCTGGTGTCTACCTGGAAACTAGACAGTGGGTCTGGAGCAGGGTTTCTCAACCTGGGCGCCATTGATATTCGGGGCTGGATAGTTCTTGGTGGGGAGGGGTCCTGGGCATCACAGGGTGGTTTGCAGCTTCTGCGGTCTCTGCCTCCTAGATGCCGGGAGCATCCTCTATCCCCCATCCCCAGCAGTGACCACCAAAAATGTCAAAAGGGTTTATAAAAAGCTCTGGCGAATCCCAAAGGGAAACTCTTGGGCTCCGTTTGTGGTAATCTGTCAATGCACCTATATTCAATCATCTCCCTGCCACCCCCCACCCCCCAGATGACACCCTCCTGTCTTCCTCAGCCTGTTGCCCTTGGTGATGGTTGTCAGGGTTTGAACAGTTGCTGAAGGAACACGGGAAAGGTGGTGATTAGGCTTGATGACAGCTTCCTGGATCCTTCCAGGTGAGCCGTTCTGTCACTGATGTACTCATGCCAGGAGCAGCATATCAAGAAGCTCAGAAGTTTCCTTATATGCCAAGGATAAAGAAGAGAAAAAACAAATGACTCACCAGTTGTTGAATAACGCAAAATTATTTAAAATTTCCACCTTCTACAGAGAGCAGATCCAACCTACAATATTTTTCTTCCAGTTTTGTCTCTTTGAGCGTCATGTTTTGAAGACCATCTCATCTGTGCTTAACCTTGTCACATGCAATTGAGCTGAGTTAGAGACACAGACATGCACCCTTGGCCCTTTTAGAACCTGGAAGACCTTAGGAGGTCATGTAATTCTCCACTAGTATTTGTAATTCATTGTAACGATGAGGATATTTAGTGTTATCATTTGAGGGGTACACACCTCAAATGTTCTCTGTTTCCTGGAAAGTCTCCCATTAGGAGTGCAGTTCTTGATAAAGCTGTTTTGCTATGCAGAGGGGGACATTTGGGGTGTTTGTAATGATAATAATAGTAAAGACTTAGATGACTTCGATGACACTTGCTGTCCACCAGACAGTTTAGAAAGGATTTAGGTCCTTTAACTCCTCAAAATCTCACCACTGAGTCCCTTGTGTAGGTACTACTATCAACCCCGTTTAACAGGTAGAGAAGCTGAGGCAGACAGAAGCTAAGTAATCTATAGGAAGATAGCTTGTTAAGTAACTAAAATCCAAACGCTTGTAATTATTTGCAAAACGAGTAGGTACACACTCTTCCAAACGGGGGCCATCTACCTAAGTGACAGGTGCTCATCTCTGTTCAAATGGCTATGGTTGTTTGAATGTTCTTCCCTTTCTCCCAATTACCTGACTCATCCCTAGGGGGAATGTCCTTCACATTGACCTAGGAGGCAATGGAGTAGCTGGATCTTAGATGCAGGAAAGGTTTCCCTAGACCCATGAATTCCCTGCCTCACTCCTGGGCTCTGTGGCCCCACCCTGGGGTAGAGAGAAAACTCCTTCACCCCGTGCTGCTGCCGATGGTCTCCAGATCAGCCTCAGGACCTTGGCATTTTCTTGCTCTGTCCAGGGCTCTGTAATTCTGTAGCAAACACCCTTGCTGAGCAGATACCCCACCCTCATTAGCTGTCTTAGTCCCTTTGGGCTGCTCTAACAGCATGCCACAGGCTGGGGGGCTGATGAACAACAGACATCTTTTTCTCACAGGTCTGGAGACCGGAAATCTGAGATCAGGGCGCCAGCATGGTCCAGGGGTGGGGGTGGGGCTCTTCTGGATGGCAGAAGGGGACAAGGGAGCTTCTGGGGTCTCCTTTTATAAGGGCACTAGTCCCATCATGAGGACCCCACCCTTAAGACCTAAGCATTTCCCAAAGGCCCCCGCCTCCTAATGCTGTCACATTAGGCGTTAGGATTTCAACGTGAAATTGCAGGGGTGGGGGACAGAAATTTCAGACCATAGGATCAGAGGGTAGCTCCTCTCCTTCTTTTAGGAACTGCTCATTCCCCGCTACATTCGAGTCACCCTGGATGGCGCTGGGGTTTTTCTTGCACAGCATTCTCTCACGAGCATTTCCTAGGATCGATCTAGAGGCTAAGCTGACCAGGACTATTCACAGCCCTCCCCAGTCCCTTTGTCTGTCTGTCTGTGTGTCTGTCTGTTTTGAACTGGGTCTTGTAAGGAGGGTCAGATGCTTCTCCAGGAGTAAAATTTATGAGCTGCTCATAAATTCAGCTCTTAAAAGCCATGCTCTCTGCCCAAAAGAGGGAGCTGGTCCCCATTAAAAGAGAATGACAGGGGCACAATAAGGACACAAACAAGTGTCAGAGGGGAAAAGAATCCAGGCAAGACTCCGGTCCCTCATTCCAGTTTCTGAAGCAGGTGGCATCCATGCGCTCCCCACGATTTACTGGCCCGTGATCCCAGTGGTTTCTAGCCACATATAGTCTGGACTCTGTGGGACACTTGGCAGTGTCCGGAGATGATGTGGTTGTCACAGTTGGCAAAGGAGACTTGTAGCAGGTGGAGGTCAGAGATTCAGCTGAACATCCTATGATGCACAGGATGCACCATTCTCCCACCCCACCCCCCCAAAAAAGAATTATCCAGCAAAAAATGTCAGTAGTGCCCGGTTGGGAAACCCTGAATGACCTTTTTAATTCCAAGGGCTGATCTATTCCCCTCAGTTTCCCTAGGTCACTTCAAGGTAGGTGCTTTTCACTTGCAACCAAGTGTCTTGACGAATACAGTCCTATCCGTTATGATTGATCACTTACATTCTCTCTCCTTCCTACAGAAGTTGTATGGGTCAGAGGTGTGCATTGCTGCCCCCCGCCCCTGCACTTGACAGATGAGGGAAAGGCATACAAAGAACTGAGTTGAAGAATATTCGCAGACAGCGAACGCCAGAGCTGTGGTTTTAACTCAGGTCCACTGACTTCACCTGTTCTCCTATCCTGCATGGCGTTTCTCAGGAGCCCCAAATCCCTGCCCCATGAACTTTTTGGAAATTCCAGGTTCTCTGTTTACTGCCCTGTGCAGGTATGACTGGTCCTCATGTCAGTACTGGGGTGCTCAGCCCCCACCCAGGAGGATGCCTGGTTCCTACTGGCCTCTCTTCCTCCCCTTGTCCTGGACAAACTGAGTCGTCAAAAATAGCCCTAGTGCACAAGGGTCAAAAAACATCCCTTTCCTGAATAAACCAACAGAACCCTCGTGCACTGTAGGTAGCAACGTAGAACGTGGCCACTATGAAAAACAGTATGGTGGTGGGTCCTCCAAAATTTAAAGGTAGAACTATCCTAAGATCCAGCAATCCCAATTCTGAGTATACATCCAAAAGAATTGATAGCCACTAGGTGGCCAGGAGGTGATAGGCCAGTAGCCAAATAGGTGGAAAGGACCCCAATGTCCATCAGCTGATGAATAGGTAAACGAAATGGGGTCTGTCCATAAAAGGGAATGTTATCAGCCTCAACAAGGAAGGAAATCCAGCTATATGCAATAGTGTGGATGAACCTTGAGAACGTATTTCGGAGTGAGAAAAGCCAGTCACAAAATGACACATACCATATGATTCCAGTGATGTGAGGTTCCTGGATTAGTCGGATATATGAGACAAGGTAGGATGGTGGGACCCAGGGGCTGGGGGTGGGGGAGTGCAGAGAGCTATCTGATGGGGACAGAGTTTCAGTTCTGCAAGATGAAGGGCATTCTGGAGGTGGGTGGTGGTGCAAGTGCACTTAACACTACCGAGCTGTGCACTTGCAAATAAGATGGTAACTTATACGTTATGCATTTTTGCCATTTTTTTTTAAAAAAAAAATCATTCCTCTTGAAAGAAAGGGCTCGGCAGGAAGAGAAAAGCTCGACTCAGCTGAGCTGAAAGGCGAGTGCTAGAGTCCCAATGAAAATGGAACACAGGGTGGGAGGGATGGGGTGGCTGGGTGATAGACATCGGGGAGGGTATGTGCTATGGTGAGCACTGTGAATTGTACAAGACTGATGAATCACGGATCT